ACTTAAGCGAATTTCGTGTCCCAGATATTTGTATGCTGATGTTTGTTCTATACTTGTTCCAGCTATGTTGATGTTCTCACTCAGAACAAGGTTTGTCATCACTTGTGTTTTTGAGTTATTGATCTTTAAACCCACTTGTGTAGAGGCATGGTAGAGTCTTTCGCACATTTCGATGGCATGATCTATGCGGTCTGTTATCAGGACTATATCGTCCGCGAACCTGAGGTGACTAAGCTGCTCTCCATTTATGTTTATGCCCTTTTCGTCTAGGTTTGCACGCTTACACATGTATTCCAATAATGTTGTAAACAGTTTTGGTGAAATGGTGTCGCCCTGGCGAACTCCACGATGAATGTTGAACTTGTGTGTATCTTCATGGAGTCTGACGCATGCCGTGGCATTATCATAGATATTTTTGATGACAGTGGTGTAGCGGTGATCTATTCGGCACTCTTTTAAAGCTTCTAGCATTTTCTGGTGGTTTACTGTGTCGAATGCTTTCTCATAATCCACAAATATTAGGACGAGGGGTTTATTGTACTCTATACATTTTTCGATGAGGCTTTTAATAACTTGTAGATGGTCGTTTGTGCCGAAGCCTGACCTGAATCCTGCCTGTTCGCATGATTGGTAAAAGTCCATTTTGTTCGAAAGTCTGTTTGTTATGACTTTTGTAAAAAGCTTGTATATGTGTGAGATGAGGCTGATTGGTCTATAGTTTACGAGATTTGTTAAATCTCCTTTCTTAAACATTAGAACGATCACTGCATTTTGCCATTGTGATGGTGTTGTTCCTCTTTCAAGGCATTCTGTGAAAAGTATGGAAAGCATTTGTATCAGTTTCTCGCCTCCTAATTTTATGGCTTCGGCAACGACCCCGTCGTCGCCAGGTGACTTATTATTTTTCATTTGTAGGAGAGCTTTTTTGATTTCATCAACAGTAACATCTGGTATGTCTTCCGAGCCCTGGTTTAGAACCTTTGGTATGTTGTCAGTTGGAACATTTTCTTCTGTTTTGCTGTAGAGTTCGCTGTAAAATTGTCCGACAGTTTGTAGAATTTCCTGTTTATCTGTTATTATTTCGCCCTTTGTGTTTTTCAGTTTGTAAATATTTTTCTTTCCTATTTGCTGTTTCCTTCTGAAGACTTTTAAACTTTTGTTCTCTTCTATGACTTTTGATATCTCTCTGGTGTTGTAGTCTCTTATATCTTTTCTGATGTTCTTAGTGATTTGTTTGTTTAGTTGTCTCATTTTTGTTAGATTGGTTCTGTATTTATCTGTTAGTTGTCTTCTTTCCTCTAATAGAGTTTTCGTGCTTAGACTTAGTTTTTCTTCGTCTTTTTGGTTTTTTGGGCAACATTTTTCTTGTGCTTGTTTCAGAGCTTTGACTATTTTCTGGTTTAGTTGTTCGATGTTTATGTTTTCTGTTTCTTCGTTTTGTAATTTTTCTTCGACCGTACGTTCAAACAGTTTTGCATTTTCAGGTGGTACCCATCTTCTAACATTTGGTTTAGGAACAAGCTTCATTCTTTCTTTTTTAACGTTAAGCATTACTTTTGTTCTTATCATCCTATGGTCGCTGCCAGCAGAGAACTTGTTGAGTACTTCCACGTCTTGTATTATATATTTTTTATCTGTAATTATAAAGTCGATTTCGTTTTTGACGGCGCCATCAGGGCTTATCCAAGTCCATTTGTTTTGGGGTTTCTTTTTAAAGAAAGAGTTCATTTGAAACATGCATTGATGATGTAGAAAGTTTAAAAGCATGTCCCCTCTTGCGTTTCTTGCCCGTATCCGTACTTTCCTAACGCGATCTCCGCTTGGTCTTGTTTGAATCCGAGTTTTGCGTTGAAGTCGCCCATGAGAACAGTATAGTGTGTTCGTGTTCTTTGTTGTGCCTCTGCTACATCCTCATAGAATTTTTCAACTTCTTCATCTGTGTGTCCAGTTGTCGGAGCGTAGACCTGTATAACTTTTAAACTATAACGAGAGTTTAGTTTTAATATCAATAGGATGACCCTCGTGCTTATGGTCTCGATTTTCGTTATGTTGGGTATGTGTTTTTTATGTACAATGATCCCGATTCCACCGCTGGATGAATGTTCCTCTCCTCTGTAGTGGAACAGGTGTCCTGATTTCAATGTTTGTTGTTCTTCTCCTCTCCTTCTAATTTCACTAAGTCCCATTACATCCCATTTTATTGTTTTTAATTCGTTTTCTAGTTCTGTTAGTTTATGATCGGTTGAGAGGGTTCTTATATTATAGGATGCAAGATGCAGTATTCTTGTGCAGTTTAGCCGTCTTGAGTGGTAGCCTGGTCCATCCCGGGTATTCTTAGCACCATCTGCTCTTAATCTTTTCTGTCCGCTACCTTGGTCAGAGATTTTTGAGCTGCCGGGGACTGAGGGCCGTGTTTGGTTTGTGTTTTGCATGTTTACGGGGGGTTTGGCCTTAAAACGCCACGCTGGCCAGACGTGTTGGCGAGTTGGGGGAG